AGGGCACACTCACACACCATTTACTCACACTTACGGGCAATTTGATAACTCCAGTTAATCTCAGCATATTTTTGGACTGTACCCAGAGACAACCCCACAATGACGACATGCAAACTCCACACACATGGAGCCATGGCGGAGACTCAAACCCAGGTCCCAGAGGTGTGAGGGAACAGTGCTAATCACTGCACCACCATGCCACCCCCAAACACATAACTCCATTTTAATTTCATCATTAAACCCAGCACTGCTTCAGCTGCAGAAGCCTTGGGGATACACATGGATCCATGGCAGAGACTTGAACCCTGGTCCCAGAGGTGTGAGGGAACAGTGCCACCCCTATTCATATCCTTCCTATGATATAAATGCTTTGAGCAGACATAATAAATGCAAAATGTCTACTTAAATATGTACATATAACATACTAAAAATGTTTATGAATCGTATGAGATATTTTAGTTAATTTTAAAAGCTCCAAAAAAAGTTGTATCCTCTTGCAGTCGTACTGACTGGATGTCAAGAACCCGGAGGGACAATGTGTCACCTTGCTGCAGGTGGAACAGAGCGCCTTGATGGCTGGAGAACAAGGCAAAGTGGTGCCCGCTATGCCAGCACTTAGTCACAGTGGCCCTAGACAGTAACACTGGCTTCAGAGAAGATCCCCTTCTCCTGTATAAATGCTGCCCAAACTGCTGGGACTCTCTTTCTTGTTCTGAAGAAAGTATTTGGAAATATACCTGTGAGTAGACAAAGTAAAGACCTTCACGGGGTATAACAATCTCTCCATCGACGTATCCCATCATGCCTTGCTGTATAGCTGGTCCGTTAATATTATCCCAGTTGAGAATTTCTGTTGTGCCCATCATATTCTCTGTCCCACCTATTCAGGAAGAAATAACAATACAATGATGGCTAAGACACTGAACTTAATGTATGAATGAGTCAGTTTTCAAAAGCAAAGCCGTGTGTATTTTACCGTTTTTTACCCAGCGGGTAGGTTGCCTCAGTTCCTGCTCTGCTCCCATGTGAATGGCAGGTTTGTTGGAATGAAGTAAAGTTACATTGTTGGCTGCAAATGAAGCATAAATAATTGAATTACAGTATAACTGTAAATGCAGCCTTTAGTAAAATAACACTAAATAATAAACATATATGTGCATATGCCTGACTGCATGCATAGGATAACTGTGTTTAAATATAGATAAATTAAATAAAAACGTACCATTTAACTCCAAATACAGGCCATTCCGTATGTCAGATAAAATTTGCTGAAATTGAAGCAGAAGTATATTTTCTAAATCAATATCCTTTCATTGTCGATATCCATCCATCCAACTGTTCCCATTACATAGGGCCATGAGAGGCGGAGCCTATAGCGCCAGGCAGCAGTCACCTGACTCCGCCTCCTTATGTCCAATTCACACCTTGCGCAGCTCCGCCTACTTCAACATTGACTTCGTTTTCTTAATCTCCCATTTTTGTGAAAGATTCAAAGTGAGTGGTTTAATAAAAGGTCGGTTTTGCACTATTTATTTATTATTCATTTCCATTAGTAGCCCTGACCAGGCACACATTTCTCAAGTGGATGAGATATTCCCACAAAATGCTTTGATTTCTGTCCTGTTTCTGTATTTTGACTCACATCCCCCACTTCTCTTACTAGTTAGACTCTGCTTGAAACTTTAATGGGGGGGGGGGGGGCATTACAAATGAATCAGCAAGAAAATTACTTGGTGATAAGCCATTTTGTTGAATTTTTTATGTCATTTACATTTTATGTTCCAATAAAATTCAAGTATGCCTACAATGTAACTACGGAATATGTACAATGCTGACATCTAATAAAAATAACTTTTTTTTTAAAACCACTTGTTTTAAAGTGGTAAGATAACGTGCAGACAAATGAAGAAACTGCATCTTTCAGACTGTGATCATAAATACCAGGGATGGGATCAAGTCCTGTCTTGGCGAGTCTTAGTCAAGTCTTGAGTCAAAACATTGCAGTCCAAGTTAAATCATTTGCCCTCAAATTCAGGTAGAGTCCAAGTCTTTCCATCATTTTTGCTGTCACGTCATCAAATCTGTGACTCGAGTCCAAGTCGAGTTGTGAGTCATGCAACTTAGAATGACTTTATTGTCTTTGCACATTTTCTTGAACAATGAAATTTGCAGAGCAGCCTCTAGGATATGCATATATCTAGACATTACAACAGGGGTCATCAGGCTTTTTGAAACTGAGAGCTACTTCATGGGTACTGAGCCATACGAAGGGCTACCAGTTTGAAACGGCCTCCTAAACTTATCTAACCTTCATGTATAATAAACATGTCTGAAATGCTTTTTTTTTTTTTAGATATTGTCATTTTCAAATCTATATAAATGCAAATGTGATTAAAGAAGAATAGCAACAGGATAAAATTAAATTTTATGTGCTGCTCACTGGTGAGTTGTGCTATTTTTAGAACAGGTCTGCGGGCGACTCATGTGGTCCTTGGGGGCATCCTGGTGCCCACAGGCACCATGTTGGTGACCACTGCATTACAACCTAAAAAGCATAAATTAAGAAAAACATGATATTCATAATGTTGCAGTTATTCCGTATTGCACATTTCATAGTATTACGTAGTTATTGAACTGGGGCATAATGATGCTGGTCCGCGGTGAATTTAATGTGCTTCAGGATCAGTCTTCAGAAGTACTTTGTTATGATGGGAGTGAGTGCCACTGGTCTGCAGTCATTCAGGCTACTGATCTTAGACTGCTTGGGCTCTGCTACGGTGGTGGCCGATTTCAGACAGGTACATGTAGGTACCTTAGCCTGTGCCAGGGACAGGCTGAAAATGTCCGTAAACACCTCTGTCAGTTGGTGGGCACAGTCTTCGTGCACTGGGACGTCATCAGGCCCCACATCCTTCTTAATATCCACTGTCCCGAGGAGTCGCCTCACCTCCTTTATCTGTATTTTAAGTGTGTGGTTGTGGAGACTGATGGGAGGGTTAGGGTGCTGTGCGGCTCTTTTATCTCGAAACGACCAAAGTAGCATTTTATCTTCTGTCTAGCGAGGAATGACTGTGGGTCGTTATTGGTCCTGTAATTCATGAGGTGCTGGATGCCCTGTCACACCCGTGCCAGTTCCCCGTTGGTCACGTGATCCTCGATCCCTTTCCTGCGTGCAGCTTTGGCTCTTTTGATACCTCTCTTCAGGTTTCTTCTGACATCGCTGTACTGCTCCTTGTCTCCAGATCTGAAGGCTGTGTTTCGTTCCTTCAGTAGATTTTGGACTTCCTTTGTCATCCATAGTTTTCTACCTATGTCAGTTTTTTTTTTTATCTTTAGTGATTAAAACTCTCTGCAGCAGTTTATATGTCCATGTTTATGCAGGGAATGATGCATCTTTCTAACAAACTATCTATCTCAGGAGACCTTGCATGCAGCCAATTGAAAATGCAGACAGCAGAGAATTAATATACACAGTAATTATAAAATTAACATTGGTAACCAGAGGGGAACTATAACCTCAAGTCTTCTTGAGTCACAGGGTCTAAGTCTGGTCCAGGTCATGAGTATTTGCTATGAAGTCCAAGTCTTTCCATCACTTTTACCAAGTCAAATCACAAGTCATCAAATTTGTGACTTGAGTCTGAGTTAAGTCGCAAGTCAGTGACTTGAGTCCTCACCTCTGATAAATACATATGATAAGTAATAAACTAACATACAGAGCAGCTGATTCCCCTCTGTTTCCTAACTGACAGGGCTCCCCCGCCCCTGCCTGATTCTGATGCAACCACTGGACAGGACGCTAGAACACTAATGTATCACAGGGCACAGACATGCACTATAAACGATTTAGCTGCATGACTTTGGAGTAGTGGGGGAAATGAGTGCGCGTTCCCAGAGAACATGCAGCGTCAGCGCGCACGAACACACGCAGCGGAGGTGCGATTCTAACACCTAAACTGGGAGGTCTGAGGCAGCGATGTCCACCGAGACACCGCGCCGCCTCTATTATCACATTTATTTTAATACATGATTAAATGCTTTACTTTCTAATGCAATTTTCTAATGCTACAAAACAAAACCGAAACCAAAAACAACACAAGGACAATTCTCCATAAACTTTACGATCATTTGTTTATGTATATAACATCTAGTCAATATAAAACTAACTTCTAAGGACGGCTTTTCTGGTCGTTTTACCTTGTGCACGCTATTATCCAGTTCTGCTATCCACACCTCACAGCCTGTATGTTCTCCTGAACTGAGAGATGCATTTTTCTGATATCCAGGATCCACCAGCTGGTGCAAACAATGCAAAGGGTATTCCCCGAGCCTGGCGACTTCTTGAGCCTTTTGGGGGGAAAATAATTAAATTGTAGGCTATTATAGGCAGGTATGTATTGCGCAAAACAACAACAACAAAAGTTGTTACTCTTAATTATCGGATGTTATTCCATGTTTTCAATAAATCTGAATTAGATGTTGGCTAATATATTTGTTTCCATTATGTCTTAAAATTATGATTGTATTTAAAGAATTATAAATAATGTTTATTCTTATATTACAGATTTGAAGCATAAAATCCCATTGGCCTCGCGCTTAATGATACATTCAATAACATACAGGCATCACGTGGAATAATATAGTTTCCCATTAACAGGGAACAAATTCTAAAGATTTTTATATCGTGATTCGAATCCTATGTTCCTAATATTTACCTTACTTATCTCTTTTGACAAGTTGTATACAAGAATTCCAGAAACGATTACTTCCACTCCAAAAACGATACTCAAAAACAAAACAAAAACATAGAGCTTTCCCAACTTTTCGTTTGTCGGCACGGTATTTTCTTTTAACGGACAATAATTATGGATTTCGTTTTCCGAAGTCATACTTTGAGAACTCACTGAAACATTTAAACGTTTAAAAGACAAAGATAATTGTATGTTTTCCGTTGGAAGGTAAACCAGAATTCGTTTCCGTGTCTAGGTCTATCCCTGGAAAGTCCCGACTAACGCCTTCGGGCTTTGACTTCCAGTTTCATGAAGCTGCATGCAATGTCATACGGAGTAATGACGCGTACATGGAGTACAGTATGCAGCATGAGAGAGTACACCTTCTACACAGAAAGATGCATTTGTATACCTAAATAATAATGGTTACAATTCACGGAGAAGTGACATAACAAACAGAACAATAACATAGAAAGATAAGCTGATAATATTTCTAAAACAAGTAAATAGCGTAACACTGCTTAATTAGATCAACTGTTACAAAAATGAGTACAAAAATGTAATATAGCAATACTTAGTATGTCCACCATTATGTTATAGCACTGCACTTTCCCTTCTTGGCGCTGAGTATACTGTACCAGTTCATGAGGGTGTCGCCTCTTCTTGCAGTACCTTAATGTTGAAGGGCCTTTGCTGTCTGCATGACTGCTGTTGCTCCTCTTATTTGCCCATGTCCTTCCCCATACTAGCCTTCTTATTTTTGACCCTTGGCTGTCTTGTTTGTTTCCCTGCTCCAGTTGTCAATGCCAGCCCCTAAGTCCTTTGGTTTTTAAATCACACATCACTTCCATGTGCTTTACTGTGGGAACCATGGTGTTGTCACTGGACTGTTCGCCAGAGTGACAAGATACCTTTCGGACGCCATGAGATTCAAAGTGATTGATTTTGGTCTCTTATTACAGGACACACTCATTCATTCACACATATGGGCAACCTGGTAACTCCAATTAGCCTCAGCATGTTTTTGGACTGTGGGGGAAAACCAGAGAACCCAGAAGAAACCCCATGATGACACAGGGACAGCATGCAAACTCCACACACATGGAGCCATTGCGGAGATTCCTCATCCAAGATGTGTGAAGCAACAGTGCTAACCACTGTGTCACCCCCGTGTCACTCTGTGAGAGAAAAACCACAGCGATAATTTACCATTGTTCTCTTTTGTAGGGTAAAAGTACAGTAGGAAATTTGCAAAACAGTATGACTTGCATCATAAACAGCATATATTTCAGCTCAACCATGCAATTAAGGCATGTGAATGATATTCGTTGTATTTGCTGGCCTCTCCTACTTTTTGCTACAAGAAACAGACAAATTGTTGACTTTGTGGGGTTTATGAAGAAAGTCTGTGTCCAATCTACTCAGTTTTTGAATGAAAAAGTGGAATAATAATTAGCCATAATTTTTCTTTATAGCAAACATAATCAGATGTTTATCACAGGCTTATGCTGTATTTCCCATTAATCCTTGTGATATTAATCCATCTGTTTTCCATGCTAGTCCAGTCTCAGAAGCCCATGCATGGGACAATCTGCTATGCATGTATTACCAGTAGTAGGATTTCTGCAGTCGTTTTAGAATTGATCTTTGCATATATTGTCAAATTTTGTGCTTTACTATTTGCTGTTTACTTATTTATTTCTGTAGAAATAATTATTCCCAGAACAGTGGCCATGTGCACTACAAACAATTTTTCTTCCTACCTTTGGACTGGAGGAGCAAACTGGAGCAAATCTGCCCCCCCAGAAAAAAAATCAGAAGAAATACCACTGGTTGCATTCCATGACATTTCAGTTATTTACATCAGTTTTGACATTTCACTGCTTTTCTTGTTCAACAGAGGGGAAACATGTTCTGCTGGGGGGGTGGGGGGTGGGACAACACACAGCAGAATCTTGCCTGGGGTGCCAGAGCGCCCAGGGCCTGCAGTACCGAGTAAACCCACAAAATTTGGGGAGGACAGGCAGGGGTAGACCCTGGATCGAATGTCAGTCCATCACAGGATACACACAAACACACACACACACACCTGATGACCTACCATCAGTACATACTATCAGTAGTTTTCCTTCCCCTGCCTTGTGTCCTGCGCTCCCTCAGGCCTTGGTGAGAATCTGATCATTGTACGTGGCAGGAAAATCAATGGGTATAAAGGCGTCATTTCTTTTTTCTTGTTTCTTTTTTATTACTTTTGTATTGTGGACAGGTTGCTGTAAATAATTACAACCCTTTCCCTTTCCCGGACGTCTCCTGCGAACATGATTATCTTGATCCATCAAGTTATTACTTGACACGGTATTTGAATTCTATCTCGTTGCGAAGCCCTAGTTGGCCTCCAGCGTAATAGGTGGCAGTAGTGAGTCTTTTTTGAAGTAAGCGCAGTGTAATTCAAAACGACAGTAAAACAACGAAGAAGAAGCAGCCGTTTCCTTGATGCTGGATAGTCTGGGGAGCTTTTCGCTGTGATGCCGCTTGAAAGATGGCCGCTTTCGGGATCCTGAGTTACGAGCACCGTCCCCTGAAGCGGCCGCGACTCGGTCCTCCAGACGTTTATCCGCAGGACCCGAAGCAGAAAGAGGTGAAAAAAAGCAGACTGTCAGTTTATCTGAGGCTCGATATTAGACGAGGGTTACAGCAGCAGGATACTGTGGGCATAGTTAGTGGAATAAATTAGTTTCTGTGTCAGGAGAGCCCGAGGATGCATTCCTGGCCTAGCTTTTGATGCTTTCAGCAATTGAGATCGCTAGCTAGCTAACAATAACAATTAACGCAGCTGCTAAAAAAAGCTATTGACGCCGACTGATTAAAAGTAAAACCAGCCCAACCCTCATAGTTGCATTAAATGCGTAGTATAATTTTAATACTGGCTATCTGTCTTTTTTCTTTCTAATATATAACACACTGAATGCCGTTCGTTATATGTATGTGTATAATCTACTTTCTTGGAATAAAAAGCATCGCTCATAAAGTACAATTTATCCGGTTATTAATGTCTTTATAACTGAGATGAAAAACTATATGTGCTAGCAGAAGAGTACTATGCCTTACATAGGTTTTGCCTTGTTTTGCTTTGTGGCAGTCACATATGTATTTACCCTTATTTTAACCAAGTTATTAAAGCTGTCTTCGCGTTTCGGAAATGCGTCTGTAAGAATATGTCGGGAATTTTATGTGTGTTTTGCAGGATGAACTGACGGCACTGAATGTGAAACAGGGATTTAATAATCAGCCGGCAGTGTCAGGGGACGAACATGGCAGTGCTAAAAATGTCAATTTCAATCCTTCCAAGGTAACAAAAAATTGATGAAGTCCAGTTAATAAAATTCTCGGTCTCCTGGAAACTGAGTCACGTTGAGAGGGTGACGGTAATGTTCAGGATCAATTTAGGGTAGCCAGTCTGTATCACGAACTATTAGAAATCAGACCCCACAATTCTCCCGTTGAAATGTAAGCAGCAATGTGTCCTTATCATAGTTTAGCAGATCCACATGTGTGCTGGGTTTGTTTTTATTTCAATTAAATGTAACCCAGAAAAATAATCTACTGGACCCTGTATGCGCATATTGAATACAATGAGCATGAGCTGTCCCAAAAACCAGAGTCAGTTTAACATCAAAAGCTGCACGGATATGTCCTCCCTCATTTCAGCAGCCTATTGTAAGAGGGATTACATGCAAATGTAAGGCTCTCTCTAAGGTAAATGACCTCACCCTTGGGTTTTACACTCATATATTTGATGGCATTCCCATCAGAATCCCTTCAATACATGTGATGAAATTGGGGAAACAAATACAATCAGTTTTTTTTTCTTTTTAGTATTATAAAATGCATTCATTCTGTGTCACTGAAAGCATAATTTAGCATTTTTTGTTAGGCTGTTTGCTTGTGGGATTTATCCAATGGCTATGGGCTGTGTCTGTGACCTTTTTATTGCCTCATCTTGTATTGTCAAGGAATAATTAGCAGTGAAAATCAATTTGGTTGTTTTTAATATATTGATTTTCAAATATTCTGGCACACAGTCTATGGAGAATTGCATCAAAACTGTTTACTTAAGAAATAGACTGCGGGTTATGACTGTTTCCATGATCACTGTGTCACTGGTTCAGTTCTCATGGCTGGCAGAATGTTTTCACTGTTGGGCTCTTGATCAAGGTCTTTTAACCTCGACTGCTTCAGGGCCTGGATGAACCTGCTTACAGAATGCAGTGCTGCTTTGGATAAAAGTGTCTTCTACATTAATGTAAATGCATTTATAGAGCATTTTAATTGCATTTTGTGTGTCATGATCCAGTTGTTTTGGAAAAGTTTGGTGAGTACACAGATGAGGCTAAAATATTAAAGCCAACTGAAGTATTGTTTCAGGAGTTGTTTTCTTGTAATTCAGATAGAATAGAGGTGTTTGTCCTTGTTTAAAGACTGAGTAACTTTTCATTTTCCCATCACATGCATGTGTAAAGAGGTGAGAGCGTTTTGTGTCAGAGCACAGGGTCAGCCAATGTCCAGCGTTCTTAGAGCAGTCGGGCATAAAGGGCCTATAAATGGCTTATAAAAGGCTTGCCCAGGTGCCCAAATCTGCTGTAATTACTGTTTCGGCTTCTCTTGGGATTTGCAGCTGCAGCCTTTTACAGAGACTCAGATTCCGATTGATCCCAAAATTTTTTTTTCCCCCCCTCAAGATTTTTGGTGATAGTTTTCTAGAACTTTTGAACCAATGTGAAAGATTCCATGTAATGATATGTAAAAATGTGTATTTTATATAATAATGTAGCTTGACTCTTGGAGTTGTTTTTGAAATGATAAATAGTTCCGCTTTGCTCAGAGTGGTTGTTCTTTTTTTCTGGACCTTCAGATTAGCTCCAACTTCAGCAGCATCATCGCAGAGAAGCTGCGATGTAATACATTCCCAGATACCGGAAAGAGGAAGCCACAGGTTAACATGAAGGATAATTTTTGGTTGGTTACTGCAAGATCACAGAGTTCCATCAACAACTGGTTTACTGACCTGGCTGGAACAAAGCCACTTACCCAGCTAGCTAAGAAGGTATCTAAAGTCTCTCTATCATATATCTCTTTTTTTCTTTCTAATTTCATAAGGACAGTTCATGCCAAAATATATTTAAATGTTTCCATCCAGCTCTGAATTAGAATGTTCAGGAAAATATGATCAACCAGGTTTGTTAGCATGGATAAGCTTTATAATAGATTTATTTCCACTGACTTCAGTACAGAAGTGGATAATAATGGTTAAAAACATGGCCTTGTACTCTTAAATCTGTACTTGATTTACAACAGAGAACTTGTACTGAAATTTGCAGTTATATACATTGGGAACTAATGAAGTACCTCTGAGTGGCAATTCACCAAAGCTAAGCAAAGGAGTTGCTGTTACACTAACTTAAATTTTCAAAGACTTTTCTCTGCACTCATTTGCTGGTATTTTTGTTTGTGGGGTCCAGGTTCCAATTTTCAGTAAGAAGGAGGAAGTTTTCGGCTATCTGGCGAAACACAGTGTGCCGGTGATGCGGGCTGCTTGGATGATCAAGATGACCTGTGCCTATTATGCAGCAATAACAGAGACCAAAGTCAAGAAGCGGCACGTCATCGACCCCTGCATTGGTAAACGCGCCGCTTCCCGTTCGCACTTTGGATAAAGTCAAGTGGCGATTGACCTCAGGCAGGCTTTCTGTTTTAGAGTGACTGAAATTTACCTTAAGGATCTCCTGAAACTCAAATCTAACTTTGTGCATGAGGCAATAATTTATTCATTCTGCTGAAATTGCAGATTGAAATATGCACAGTGTACATCTGGGAAAACATTACTACAGTTAGGGGAAAGGTAAAATTATTTGTAAAACTTAGGGGGGGCGTATGTGAATTGTGCTTCAGATCTGTAACACATTGTTGTACATGTTACTAGTGTATGTAGATTTTTTAAATATTGACTTTTAATGTGGTTTTCTCCAAATTTGGCTGTCAACTTTATTTTTTTTTAATTCTCTTTTTAAATTGTCCCTATGCACAGAATGGACCCAGATCACCACTAAATATCTGTGGGAACAGCTTCAGAAGATTGCAGAGTTCTACCGGTCATCTGGCGGGCAGGGAGGGGCCTCTCCCCTCCCGGCCCCCCCTGCAGAAGTGGAGGCAGCCATGAAGCAGTGGGAGTACAATGAGAAGCTAGCCATGTTCATGTTCCAGGTCAGCGTGGCCAGCGGGATGGGGGGGGGGCGCTGTCCCTTTGCTGCCGTCTTTATTAAAGCGCCATAGGACGCCTCGCTCTGAAATTAAATGGAGTTTTGCTACTGGGAGTCTTGCCACCACAACAAACTTGAAACATTTATTCCTGATATGACGCCACAACCTGTAATTGGCACGTTTATGTAAGATGTAGGCTTGCCTCCCATTTTGGTTTTCAGCATTAATGTTCTGAGGCGGCAGACAGGACACGGGTAAAGATGGTGGACTTGCTACCCTAAGTTATTGAATTTCTCTCAGGTAAATTGATCTGATTAACCTGTTGTGGGATTGCCCACGTGGCTGTCAGGAATAGCTCCCTGCCACACTGGGAATTCTCAGTGGAGCAGGTTTTTGTTTCCATAGTTGTTCTTTTTCAGAGAGGGATCAGGAAGGGAGGCGGATGTGCTCAGTACAACAAAGGACCATTAGGTTGGAAAGCTGCCATTTTGGTGGGAAGTCAGGGAGAGCAAAGAGGAAGGAAAATAAACACCACTCTGTGCATAAATCGGTTTTGCTACCAAAAGTGCCGACACCAGTATACTAAACTTAGCGAGTATAAGAAAATACCACAAGCGGGGGAGGTTACTCAACTCGCTCTCTCCGGACGGGTATTGCCTTCCCTCCCCTCGCTGCATAAAGGGGCTGCATTTAAAACCAATAATGTCTGTAGTTATAAAAATAGTTTGTTAGGCTGCATCGGAGTGGCTAGTGTACTTACTTGGTATTTCTGTGTATGTTTGTGTTTGTTTGCTTGTAGGATGGCATGCTGGATAGGCATGAATTCCTGACCTGGGTCTTGGAGTGCTTCGAGAAGATCCGGCCCGGAGAGGACGAGCTCCTGAAGCTTCTGTTGCCACTTATGCTGCAGGTCTGTTGGCGCAGGACGGCTTTGTTTAGTACAGTATTAATTCAGTGAATTTATCAAGGTTGCCATTTTATTTACATTGATCAGCAGATTGGTTAAAATAATGATCTGATGACATTTAAGCTATAAAGATTTGTTTTTAGTATTAAAGGTTCATTAATTTATAGCAAGGACTATATATATATATTTGAATATTTGCACATGCCACTTGTCAGCGTGCTGTTACAGTCTGCACATTGTTCCTGCGATGTAAATTTCATCATTAGGGTACGGCTGTCCATGTGTGAAACTCGGCTTTTGGATTTAGGGGGCTTTTCGTGCTTCACTGTGCATCGGCTGTGCATGTGCAAGAAATTGATTACTAGGTGCCTTACAAGGTGTTTCCAGTAGGTGAAATCTGCTGGAATATCCTTGCTGTATGCATGTACCGGCTGTGACTGTCTGTATACAAGCGTAAATGTAGTATTTATGCAAAAGTCTGTGTGCGTATGCCGTAGCAGTGCAACAAGAGAAGTATGAAGAAGGCTTTACTAGTGAAAATAGTGATATGCCTGAAAAGTCATGGAAGATGTTGCAGTTCAATAGGAAAATAATATAAATTATTTTGTCCTTATTAAATAAGAAAGTTTCACCAAGGCTTCTGCAGCTGAAGCAGTGCTGGTTTTAATGATGAAATTAAAATGGAGTTATGTGTTTGGGGGTGGCATGGTGGTGCAGTGATTAGCACTGTTCCCTCACACTTCTTGGACCTGGGTTTGAGTCTCTGCCATGGCTCCATGTGTGTGGAGTTTGCATGTTCTCCTTGTGTCATTGTGGGGTTTCCTCCTAATGACTGGGGTGTGATTGTGCCCTGTGAGGGGTTGGCACCCCGTCCTGGGTTGTTCCCTGCCTTGTGCCCTGTGATCGGTTGGCACCCCATCCTGGGTTGTTCCCTGCCTTGTACCCTGTGAGGGGTTGGCACCCCGTCCTGGGGGTGTTCCCTGCCTTGTGCCCTGTGAGGGGTTGGCGCCCCATCCTGGGTTGTTTCCTGCTTTGTTCCTGTATTGTCTGGGATGGGCTCCGGACCCCTCGCAACCCTGAATAGTTCAAGTGGTTTCGGAAGATGAATGGATGGATGTTTGTGGGGGAAAAAATAAAGTTTATTATTCTGGTAAAGGTCTCAACACAAGGATCTTGAGGGCTTCCCATGTGGAAAATATAAGTAATGTAATTTATCGGATTTTAGTATGTGGTATAATACCTGAAGTTTGTACTAAGCTGTGTTCGATTACTGATTTTATATGTGTTCTGTTGAATGGCCAAATGCCATTAGCAGTGATTATGAAATGACACACACACACACACACACACATATAATATATATATAGTTTAATTAGCATATTTAACAAGCATTTTTATAGGAAACCAAAACCCCCTCAACAGCTTCTTCACCATTAATTTCTCACAGTTAACAGCATCTTGACACCTCTTTAAATGGACAAGAATAGGTCATGCGCTTCCAGTGTAGAAAAACGCCTGCATGTTTTTTTTCCTCCAGAGCCACAGCTGTTTTGATTTGTGTGTGCAATGTCTGACATGGCGTGTTCGTGTTCACAGTACTCAGGGGAATTTGTGCAGTCAGCCTACCTCTCCAGGAGACTGGCTTATTTCTGCACGCGGCGCCTCAACTTGCTGCTCACCGATGGATCCGTGGGGCCTGGCTCGCATTCCACACAGTCGGGGAATGTGATACCTCCAACGCCGGCCTCCCAGCCAGCAGGGGGCAGCCAACCCCAGGCCCCCTTCACTGACTTCTACATCTGCCCCCAGCACCGACCCTTGGTTTTTGGGCTCAGCTGCATGCTTCAGGTAGCGTTGGGCCTTTTTTTCCCCAAGCATGTTTAGCTTATGTAAATTCATTGCAAAACACCTGTATTTTTAAGAATTTTGCTGTCTTGCCAAATTGTAAATTGAATGTGAACATGTGGCTGAAACAGCATTGGATCTTGCTCAAGAGTTGAACCGTGGCCCCTCTTTCGTTTACATGATTGCTTGGTTTCTCTAACCTCTGACTGCTTCTTTGTCTGCAGAGTATTGTGCTGTGTTGTCCGAGTGCTTTGGTGTGGCATTACTCACTCACAGACAGTAGGAACAAGACTGGCTCTCCGCTGGACCTCTTGCCCATCGCGCCCTCCAGCTTACCCATGCCCGGAGGCAGCAACTCCTTCACTCAGCAGGTCGGCCTTAATCTAGATTATCAGAATCGATACATGCTGTAACTGTTTCTTGCTATTGATTTTATTTTTCATTTTATTTTTCAGGTGCGCCTGAAGCTTCGAGAAATTGAGGAGCAGATCAAGGAGCGCGGGCAGGCGGTTGAGTTCCGATGGTCCTTTGACAAATGCCAGGAGACCACTGCCGGTACGAGAGCAGCGCTTCACTCCTGTCGCTGAATAATAATGGAATTCATCTAGATCACAATAAATATGTTTTGCTAAAAGTAAACGTCCATATCTGACACTTCAGTTCAATTAATGAACGGCTATAATATACCTTCTGGTCCTGTGTTGCTTGTCTTTCGACACGTAATTTCACTTTTGAGTGTTTGATGTTACCACTGCATAAGGCTTGTGGCCTTGGTAATGGTATGTCCCTCTTTTGCGACCAGGCTTCACAATTGGTAGGATCCTGCATACCCTGGAGGTGTTGGACAGTCACAGCTTTGAGAAGTCTGACTTCAGCAACTCCCTAGACTCCTTGTATAATCGCATCTTCGGCTCAGGACAAAGCAAGGATGGCCATGAGGTAAGCTCTGCTATCGGTGATGAATGAATGGACTGATTGGTAGGTGGATTCATTAAATTCATTGTAGAAAATGACGCTTGATTCTCGGTTTTGTTAAAATGTCCTTTATCCAAATCCAAATCAGCCGTCCTTATTCAGTCACCAAGGGTATCACCGGTGTACCCTTCAGAGAGGTTAGGTTTAGCTTCAACAAAATGTTCAGGTGGATATTGGTCGTAAAAACGCAAATGTTGGCCAAGTAATAATACCTAGCTTAATTTACTGAACTGATTATTCTTATTGATAATATTATTTGCCCTGTTAATTGGCCAGTTACCAAAAGTAGTCTTCTTGAACCCATCACATGAGACACTGGCAGGCTGAGCAGAATGTAGAGAATGTAAGAGTATTTGCTTGATCCCCAGATGACCCCCGACGATGACGCGGTGGTGACTCTGCTGTGTGAGTGGGCGGTTTGCTGCAAGAGGTCGGGACGGCACCGCGCCATGGTGGTGGCCAAGCTCTTGGAGAAGAGGCAAGCTGAGATTGAGGCAGAGGTGAGCGGGGCTTTGTCTCAGGGTTTGTGAGGCAGAGGTGAGCGGGGCTTTGCCTCGGGGTCTGTGAGGCAGGGGAGAGCGGGGCTTTGCCTCGGGGTCTGTGAGGCAGGGGAGAGCGGGGCTTTGC